ATGGGAAACCTCTAGAGGGTACTTAAACCCCAAAAATTCTGTACCCAGTGCTCTTGAGCAGCTTGCTCAAGCCCACTCCCATATTGTGGAGTGTACTTTTGTTTCAATAGATCTACGCTTTTGTTTTGCTTCAGAAAAAATGCTGGAGAGAAATTGCTAACCCCTTTTGTCCCTTCATCTCTTCTGCCATGTGAAAACACTGACATGGCACCATCTAGGGGAAACATGCCCTCAGCAGACACCAAACCTGTCAGCACCTTGATCTTGAACTTCTCAGCCTCCAGAACCATAAGAAGTAAATTTCTGTTGTTACCCAGTCTCAGGTATTTTGATATAGCAGCACAAATGACCTGAGACACCATAGGTTGCCTTTTCACTCTGCTGATAGTGGCCTTCCATGCACAAGGTTTTTAAGTTGGCTGCGCATGGTGGCTCATGCCTGTAATCCCAGCATGTAGGAAGCTTAGGTGGGCAGATCATTTGAGCCCAGGAGCAGAAGTCCAGCCTGGGCCACATGGCAAAGCCACTTCTCTACAAAAGATACAGAAAAGTTAGCCAGGCTTGGTGGCATGCATCTATAGTCCCAGCTACTCTAGAGGCAGAGGTAGGAGACTGCTTGAGCCCGGGAGGTTGAGACTACGGTAAGCTGAGATCACACAACTGTACCCCAGCCTGGGTGACAGAGTGAGACCCTGACTAGAAAAAAACCCAAGTTTTTAAGTTTCATGAAGTTCAATTTGTCTATTTTTTGTCGTTGTCTGTGCCTTTGGTGCCATATCAAATCTTGCCAAATCCAATGTTGTAAAACATCTGCCCTATGTTTTACTTAATAATCAGAGTTTTATCCTTTATTTTTAGGTCTTTAATTCATTTTAAGTTAATTTGTATATGGTGCTAGGTAAGGGTTCAATTTTATTTTCTTGCATGTTGATATCCAGTTTTCCCAGTACCATTTGTTGAAAAGATTGTCCTTTTACCACTGAGTGTTCTTGGCATCTCTTTGAAAATTATTTGGTCATATGTGTGAGGGATTATTTCTGGGCTCTCTATTCTGTTCCATTGGTGTATATGTGTGTCTTTATGCCAGTACCACACTGTTTTAATTACTGTAACTTTGTATTAAATTTTAAATTAAAAAAGTTCAAGTCTCCCACATTTGTTCTTTTTCAAGATTTTGTCTGAACATTTAAGAGAAAAAAAAAAGTCTTTCATTATAATTTTGGTTTTATATTACCTGCTGCCAAACACAATCCTGACGCATTGGTATGATGTGTTTTTGGTATTGAGCTCAATAATATTATGAGAACTTCCAAAAAACAGTTATAATTGAGATCTGTCTCTCTAATATGTAAGACAATAATTTATCAAGATTAATTTGAGATCATTTTGTGAGAAAAGGAATTTTTCCTTTTTTGTTAAATGTAGGTACCAGAAAATTGATAATTCATATTTAATACCTGAGGGACTTCTAACCTCAGAGCATTATTGAGAATGACTGAATTAGATTTTCATATCTGCTTCTGCATTTAATCTGCTGTGATATGTTATTCTGATTGACATATACATAGAAAATCTTACCTCATACACAAAAGAGTGGAAAAGAGCTTCTCAAAAGTTAGTTGCAGTGTGGAATCTGAAACTGTATCAGTGAACTTTTCATACTCTGCAGCATTAAAAACAATCAGTCTCTCTTTCCACTTCAAATGGATCTTTTACCTCTGAATGATTTTGTAACATCACAGACTGGTTATTTGGAAAAGATTGGTTCAATAAGTTAGGTAGCTCTTCCAAACATTGATCCATTCCATCATGTAATATTAAAAGAAAATCATAGGGTTTTTCATTTTGTTTTTGTTTTTGGAGATAGGGTCTTGCTTTGTCACCCAGACTGAAGTGTGGTGGCTCAATCTTGGCTTCCTGCAGTGTTGACCACCTAGGCTTAAATGATCCTCCCACCCCAGCCTCCCAAGTAACTGGGACTAAAGGCAAACACCACCACGCTCGGTTATTTTTTAAATTATTTGTAGAGATGAGAGCTTGCTATGTTGCCCAGACTGGAAAAATCATGTTAATAATAACAAAATTGATTTTATTGGAAAAGTCTTTAAATATTAGGAAACTATTTAAGCTCATGGCAATGGACACCAGCTTTCCAAAATCCGAATTGTCACCAGAAAGCTCAGATTTTTATCACCAACAACAGAGACTGCCAGTTGATCCCCTCGAAGTAACAGGCTCACTTTGATCATTTTCAAGAAAATTTCTGTCAAATATTAGATCTGAATAACCATAGCTTCCTGTCATTCATCATTTCAAGGAAGAGTGGTACAAGTAACAATGCTCTAAAAAAGTGATGGTTCAGCCCATGTTCAATTAACAGCACACATGCTTGTCCTTCAGACAACCATGGTACTTGGTATGCTTTAAGTTCATTTCCTATTGTGACATAGAGAATTTTTAAAACACGTGTATTCAAGGGCAGAGATTCAATAGTAATTTTTCACTGTTTCATAAGGGCATTCTGAAGTAAATATTTTAATTTAAAAATTTTTTATTTATTTTAACAGTGAGTATGTGATAGCAAAAAATACAGTGATAACTAGTAAAGTTTGGTGCCATTATCTTGATTCATGCCAAGGCACCAACAATCTTACCCTCTATTGCTTTGGCACCATCAGGGCAAATGTCAACACAAAGAAAACAGCAAATAATGTTTTAGCATTATGATGAAAATAGTTTTGATTCTACGGGCCACCAAGGGTTCACAACACATTCTGAGTAGCACTACCATATGGAATACCAAACTGACCAACAATTAAACCAAAAATACACAATATAATAGTAAAGCTATTACCTAAGAAAGCCAGGCCATTCAACAATCAGCATTAAGGATCACTGGTTCATGAAACATGAATTCCCTTGCTGAGGTAATTGTACTTGTATTCCAAAAACAAGTCATCACATTAATATTTGTTACTTGCTTTTTCCTCTGATATAAGTAATAAATACTGACACTTGGAAAAGTATGTAGGCAAAAAATTAGCTCTCTCTTACCACCACCCCAGAATTAACTGTTTTTGACATTTGACATTCTTTCTCAATACTGTAAGCTTTCAACCTATCATTTAAAATTCTATCAAAACATAACTTTTAGTGCCTGTAAAATATTCTGCTTTGAAGTTAAACAACAATTTTCCAACTATTTCTCTAGGGTCAGGTTATTTCCAGTTTTTTGTTATAGGCATTGGTGTCAACATTTAATATAGATACACATTCTGGTCATTATTAGGTGTTGTCAGGCCTTTTAATTTTAGTTATGTTCTGGTTTGTGTAGTAATAGTTGATTGTGGCTTAAATTGCATTTCCTTGATAAACATCTTCAGCAATTTTTGATGTGCTTATTTGCCACTCATATCTTCTTTTATGAATACTATTAATAATTATTGTATCCTTCCCTCTTATATCTTTATAACAGTTGCTTTCTGAAAATTTTGATTTTGTCATATATGCCATTTTGCCTTGCATATGCTGACTTACTATAGAACTAATAAATGCAGCTCATGGGAAATAAAGAAAAATATGAAGAAAACATAATAGTCTCTCATAATCTTACCACTGAGAGGTTATCACTGCCAACCCTTTAGTTTATATTTTTCAGTCTTTGCTTGATGCAATTTTCCATAATCAAGTCAATATTATATATTCATTTAGTGAACTACTTTTGCTTCAGCACCACTGATGAGCATTTCTGTGCATTGTTAAATACTCTTTCCATATCACCCTTTCTTCTTCCTACACCATCCGCAGGAAACTAAAGCTTAGATTAGGAAAAATCAATACAAAATAATAAATAATACAGTACTATAATATATAAGGTAGGTACTGGAGAACTGTAGTAAATTTAGAGGGCACTGTGGAAGGTCAGTTAGAGCTGGAGTTGTTAAGAATGAGCAATGAGAGGAAAAGACAGCAAGTGTGAGCCTGGGACCCATGCGAGCAGACGCACCGAGGCAGAAGTGAGCAGGGCTATCGTGGTACCATTTGCGTTTGCATGAAGATTCGGTAAGGAGAGCAGTGTGTTTGGTTCAGATTAAAAGTGGGAGTGGCCAGGTATTAGAGGTCCTTTAAAGGTTGGTAAATGAGCTGCTCTCTGTAAAATTAGGTTCAGAATTACATAGAATTTAGTGGTGTACAGGAGAAAGGTCTGCTTACCTACAAAACTCATTTATGATGGAAAACTAAAACCACCACATGCATACTGCCATTCCCAGAAAATACTGTGAAAATATTGTCTTGTTGTGGCTACAAATTGTGTAACCCCACCTTTGGTGAATGACATGTATTTTTCTAATTTTATGCTAATAATGTGATAGAGATACAATTATCTCAGATTTTAAAATTGATAAAGTCTAGGTGGGTTGAGCCATTTGCCTGCGATCACCTCATGTCCCATAAGTCACAGGAAGGAGTTCAAACTCAGACCTGATTTCATGCTTGTTCTTTATCTAAAGGATGGTTCTCAACCCTGGATACACACTAAAATCAGCCACGGAGCTTTTAAAATTTTCAGTGCCCACATTTCCATCCACTATTCTGAATTTCTGATTTAATTAATCTGAAGTGGGGGTCTAATCTTGATGTTTTTAAATGTTCTCCCCCAGTAATTATCACGCGCATTCATATTTAAAAACCACCGTTGGAGACCACACTGCTCAGCCAGCATGGACCTTGGTGTTCCTCAGATTATTATGAAAACTGTCAGGGCTTTTTCTCCAGAACTTACCTAGTTTGGAATTAATAATTTGGTTAATTTCTTGAGCACACGTTAAATTTCCCAATGAAATTTACTTTCAAGAAATGTCCACATGTGATATGTTTTCTGGCTGTTTCATATGTGAGAATGTCTTTTTCACTTCTTTACACAAGGAAAACTGAGTAAATATGGACTTTGGAGGAGCAATATTTTCTCAAATTTTATAGATATTTTTCTACTCTCTTCCGGAATTTATTGTTGCAGAAGACAAATCTTACGCAAACCTTTTTTTCCTTTTTAAATTAACTTCTATACTTTTTAAATCATTTTACAGCTGTCATCTCTTTATCATTGATTTTTCTGATGAGTTCTGAGACAGCATCTGATATTTAAATTCTAATTTAATGATAGACATTTTCAATTCCTTCACTGATTTCAATAGACTCTAATACTCCTATATTTTCAATTTCTTGAAATGTCTTTAACTCACCTAACAAGCTTCTCAATTCATCCTCATGACTTCTGGCTCTTGTTTCACATAATTCATATTCTTTTGATTATGTCAGATAGTATAAAAATACTTTTTTATACTCTTGTGATAGTAGTCACTTTCCCATATTCTGAAATGTAGTTTCCTTTATTGCTTTCCTCCTCCTTTAAACAAGTTCTGTTTAGACTGTCAATGACGGGCATGTGGATTTCCATTCATGACATTTGGTGTCGGTTGGACTCCAGCTACAAATAGCTAAAAGGCAGGCCAATGAGTACACATTCTAAATTCTAGTCCAATTCTTACTTTGTAAGATTTCATATTGTCCTGATTGAATATGTCAAGTAGTGTCCTTGTAGGGATGTTGTCTGTATTGAGATGATTTGGGATATTTTCCTTTGAGATTATGATTTCTGAAAAGAGTTAATAAATATAAACTTATAATACCCAATTAGCACTGCTGCAAAGGCTTCTGTGTCTTGGCCTCAGCCTACAACATTTTTATTTTTAAGGTCTGTATCTCCATGATGCAATGTGATATATATTCTCTTTTTTCGCCCTTCCTCAAATTGCCAAGTTAAGTATAGAATGCCAAGTTTGAATTTCAGATAAATGACAAATAATCTGTTAGTGTAAGTATGTCCCAAATACTTATGGGCATACTCACACTAATAAATTATTTGTAGTCCTCTTTTAATACTTGGGCCATACATATATTAAAAATTACTTATAGTTTATATGAAATTCATGTTCAACTGGGCATCCTTGTATTTTTATTTGCTAAATCTGACAATCATAAGCTTCTCTACATTCCTTTCAAGTTGTTTTCTGGGAGCCTCAGTTTCTAATTGGTATAGAAAGAGCTGTTTCAGTGAGAGTGAGTGTATGTGAGGAGGGTTTGGTAACACAGATGTCTCCCTGATCACTTCACAAGGCGGTTCACCTGTGCCGGAGTGTGACAGCCGCACAGTTTTTTGTTGGTATAATTCTGGTGTTCTTGAGCCAGAGGACAAATGGTCTGGGGATTCCTCTACTTTCTTCCAGCTGGACATCTTGTTCTGTGGCAAGGACTTGGCATGTGTGGGTCTTGGTTGCATCTTTCAATCCAAGTGTATCCATCTTGCTCTTGGATGTGAGAGTTCCCAGATTCTGAAAATTGTAGTTTGAGGTGGCTTTTGTTAATTTTAAACATTTTGCATGATAAATTGGGAAAAGCTGACTCCGAGGCTTTTAGCCAGAAGTTATTGGAAACTTGACTCCTAGCACTGTTTGTGTGTGCTTGGACTACAGGCACACACAAACAGTCAGAGGCTACATGTCAGAGGCCCAAAATGAAAGGGGCAATCATTGTTTATTTTTGGCCAAACGAATCCTGCCAAAATGGGATCAACTGAGATGAGATGTCTAAATCTATGTTTACAACAGCAAGGCATATTCTTTGGGAAAAGGCGATGGAGTTGCTGGATGCAGGATTGTTACCTAAGGATGTATTCCAAGTGATGTTGTAGCTTTTGCGTGTCTACAGATGTATGTTGGAATGCCTCATGGCTGTTGGGCCCAGTGTTGGTTTTGTCCCAATAAGGGACAGATTGTTGAAGGTCTACTCACCTCTTGCCTGTTTTACAGCCATTTGATACAACAGAGTCATTTTTAACAAGAATTTCTTCTTTTATGCTACTCTGAGTAAATGATCAATCATGCCATCCCTCACACCACTTAGCATCGCACTCAGATACAGAACCATCTGCTGCTGGTTGTTTGGCAATCTTTGGAGCATGTAAAAACAGGCTAAGTACAAGAAAACATCGTCAGAGTTGGTCTTGACACTCTTAGTTCAACCAGTTCCCAGCTACCAGCTCTTCTTAAATAAGTCATGCATTTAGCTCAGTTCAAAGCCTAAGGTTATAGATCTTGCTTTTGTGTAAATGTGTAAATGCTTCATGCTGTGTTTTATCTTCCCAAACACAAGCCAACCCACCTGCTTTGCCTGTTTGATTTCTTCCAGCTGGTTTCCCATTTGTCTTAATTTACTCTCAAGGCTTTTGCCTTATTGACTTATCAAGGAAGCCTAGTGATTTATTTTATGAAGATTATCTCTTTATGGCTGTGCAATTTGATGAGCAGAACACAAATTTGGTGTTAATTATGTTTATTTGGGTTTAGTAGAACAAGATGATGGATTTTTTTATAAACTCCCTAAGAGATGGGGACCACCGGGGAACTCATGTGGAAACAGTCTTTTCTTCTGCTACTGTTCATCAGAGGTGTTGAGACAAGCTGGGGTGATGCCACATAACCTACAACCCCAAAAGCTCTTTTGGAACTTCTTACACTGTTGACAAGCTGCTGTGGGAAAGCAAACCTCTTGAGGAGAACTCTTAGATGAAAGGTGCTCATTTGAGATCCAGAAATGGGAGGATTAAAGAGTTTTGACCTGGATCCTGTGTAGCTGAACATTCTCTTGTCCCAGGTCCACCTCATTTTGTTTTGTCCCATTCTAGACGGGTTCACTGTGTTTGAGTGGAAATATACTCTGCTGGGCAAGGAGGGAGAGCTGGAAAATTTCTAATACATTTATATTAGTGACTTGTCCCCCAGAACTGCATTTTTCTTGACCTGTAAGATAAGATCAATAAGTGGTTAGCTGGGGCCTAAACAGCTGAAAGAAAGATATCTCAAACTACAATGCTCTTAAAAAGACAGTGGCTTAAATTAGAGGTTTGTTTCTTCTCATGTCATTGTTTTGAGGTGGGCATTTCAAGCTGATGAGGGGCTCTGAATCTCTAAGCTATTCAAGAGCACAGTTTATTTCCATCTTGCCATGGAGTCATACTTGAGGCCATTTTTCACACATGCAAGGGCAAAGTCGGGTCTCCGCAAATTCAGCCAGCCTGCAAGAAGGATGAAAAGAAGTCCAGGATGAGCAGTCGTTTTTCAAGAAGTCTCACACACAGGAGCTTTTGTTCATTCCCTCAGATCCCATTAGTGAGAACTTAGTCACACGACTATCGCCACATGGGAAGCTGAGAAACATAATCTTGAATAGGGAAGACATGCCCAGGAAAAAAGGGAGAATGGAATTTTGAGGACAAATAGCTATTAACCAGAAATATCAATATCAATAGTTGTAAAAGTCAAATAAGATAATAAGTACTAAGCAACTGCTGATGTAGAGTATTATTAAGGACATAATATTCAATAAAAACTTTTTCCTGCCCTCATTTATGTTCTTCTTAAGAGACTGATAATTATTAGAAGAAGAGGGGCCATTAGAAACATGATGCACAGCTCTAAATACAGACAGGAGAGGAATGGGAAGAACTGAGCTGGGTCTAGCATCACTTGGAATTTAAATAACTTTCATTCCTGAATGATTTAATTAACTGGTTACACAGTGGAGGCTGGGTACAAAACAATTCTCCTAAAGAGCCTCTCTAGAAACATAACAGGAGTCATCCATTTTTAGTTAGAAAACCATGAATTGTCTTATAACTAAACTTTCCAACATAGTTCTTTGGAAATTACAGGTGTTAGATAATTGCTAGCTCAGTATTTATTGTTCAGTCATATTCAACATTGAAAGTCCTAGGATAATAAGCTTAAGGATGGATTAGACTCTGGCTGGAGCTTTGTCCATTGAAAAATTCATGTGTGAATTTCTGAGTAAGGCACTATCCCAAGTACTCTGATTTCTTTTTCTGTAACTTAGGAACAACCCAAGGATTTGGATGATACAAGCTCAATAATATATGTGAAATGTCTAAGTCATACAAAGTCCATTTAAAACTTTTAAAGTATTACTATGCTTTAAGGTCAGAAGAAATAAAAATTAGGGTGTTTGGCAAAAACAAAGTTTTGTGGAAAGTAAAATACGTAATAGACTTCTATTTTAATAACTGTGCTTAATAAACTAATCCCCTTTGTTATAGCACAAAACTCTTAATTCTTTGACAAAATACATACATACTTATATGACTTGAAGGATATATATTGAGATTATTTCTGGTTGATGTATTTATGAAGGGTTATTATTTTCTTATTTGTTTTTCTAATATTCTCTGTCCCCAAGAAAGAGAAAATTAATGTGGGGAATTGGAGGGCAAAAGGAACAAGACTTGATATAATCATGAATTTTAATAGCTCTTCTAACTACAAATGTTCCAAAAGGCTTTTCATATTGTCTGTAATCACAACAATCCAATATTCCCATTAGGTGACCAAGGAAAGGAGGGACAGGATGATGCTGGGTGTTTTTTCAAATGTAAAACTATTATGTATGGCTCCCCAAGATAGTTGTAGGAACAAAATTGGAACCTGTAACGCATCCATTAAAGGCCTCAAAACTCCTGAAATTCATTGTTCATAGAAACATAATGAGTGCAAAAGACTGACATTTCCTTTGCCATTGTTTCTTTCCTTAATGCTCCCTAGTGCCCCATATTCCTACAGGAAACAGCTCCCCACTCCTTCCTCTTAATGGACATCAAAAGGCTTAGAAGCTATTTGTACATACACCATATGTTCATTGTAGAGACTGAAATCAAATCTTATTTCAAGTTCCCAAGTGGGAATTATGGGGGGCGTGTCAGGGCTACTCCAGGAAATGAAGGTGAAGGTTATCACATTTATTTTCCATATCCAGCAAAATCTCATGTAGCCTATCTCCAATAAGAGATATGTCTTTTAAAGTTAACTCTGTATTTCCCAGAGAGAGTTCATTATCATTGTGTTTCTTCAAATGCCTTCACACTACAGGAACTTGAGGGTGGAAGAGGAGAATGGAAATTACCAGATATAAATGAAAAACATTTATTTATGGAGTCTCACTTCAAATAGTCTTGCTATTCTAGGCTGGGGTTCTGGCCTCTTTACCATAGCATTTGTTCTTATCTAAATCTCATTTTCTCATTTTTCCTAAGTTGGTAGCAAAAACAAATTCGGCCATGCAAAGCTCAGTAGTAATATTGGCTCACAAGTGGAAAAATGTGTATCTTCTTGTCTTATATATGGTTTCATTTACCTATGTTGGGGGCGGGGTGTGGAAAGAATGGGGCAGAGGGATTCTAATAAGTCTACAACTTTATTTATTCTACCTTGTTTGAGAAGTTGTTCTTTAAGACTTTAGGTGAAAAGTGTTTGATTTCCTATTTCTGCTTACTTGTTCATAACTCAAAAATATAGTAAGGGAAGATAAACATGTATTCCTGGTAATTCTTTCTGTGAGGTCCATTTGAATCCATATTTATGGGGGTTCATTGGTCACAAGAAAGTTTGATATTAATGAGATCAAATCTAAGAAATCTCAATGTTTTTGGTCAATGTAAGTAAATTTATGTCATTGTTTTCCAAAGTGTATTTCATAAAACACTAGTTCAGAGGCATTATTAATAGGTACCACACAAAAACTAGCTAGTCTCATTTTTTCCGATGTCCAAAAATTACTTGTGAACATACTCCAGTAAGTAAAATATGAATCCAGGTAAGGAAGATAAAAACAAGAAAAAATGTTGAGTGAGAAACCAGTAAAACTAATAACCATCTTAATTGTTAAAAATGAGGCCATGCAGCTTAATGCCTGAGTTTAAGAAAGGATCCTTTAGAAAGGAGGGTGTATTAGTCTGTAATCATGTTGCTAATAAAGACATACCCAAGACTGGGTAACTTATAAAGGAAAGAGGTTTAGTTGACTCACAATTCCACATGGCTGGGGAGGCCTCACAATCATGGCAGAAGGCGAATGAGGAGCAAAGTCACATCTTACATGGCAGCAGGCAAGAGAGCAGGTGCAGGGGAACTCCCCTTTTATAAAACCATCAGATCTAGCAAGACTTATTCACTATCACGAGAACAGCACAGGAAAACCCTGTCCCCGTGATTCAATTACCTCCTGCTGTGTCTCTCCCACAACATATGGGGATTATTACAATTCAAGATGAGATTTTGGTGGGGACACAGAGCCAAATCATATCATTCCACCCCTGGCCCCTTCCAAATCTCATGTCCTCACATTTCAAAAACAATAATGCTTACCAACAATCCTGTCAAGTCTTAACTCATTTCAGCATTAATTCAAAGGTCCATAGTCCAAAATGTTACCTAAGACAAGGCAAGTTCTTTCCGCCTATGAGCCTATAAAATCAAAAGCAAGTTAGTTATTTGCTAAATACAATGGGGGTACAGGCATTGGGTAAATACAGCTGTTTCAAATAGGAGAAATTGGCCAAACAAAGGGGTTACAGGCCCCATGCAGGTCTGAAATTCCTGCAGGGCAGTCAAATCTTAAAGCTCCAAAATTATCTCCTTTGACTCCATGTCTCACATCCAGGTCACAGTGATGCAAGAGGTGGGTTCCCATGGCCTTGGGCAGGTCTGCCCCTATAGATTTGCAAGGTACGGTTCCCCTCCCAGGTGCTTTCACAGGCTAGTGTTGTCTGTGGCTTTTCCAGGCACACAGTGTAAGCTGTCAGTTGATCTACCATTTTGGTGTCTGGAGGATGGTGGCCCTTCTTCTCACAGCTCCACTGGGCAGTACCCCAGTGGGGATTCTGTGTGGGGGCTCCAACCCCACATTTCCCTTTTGTACTGCCCTAGCAGAGGTTCTCCATGAGGGCTCTGTGCCTGCAGCAAACTTTTTCCTGGATATCCAGGTATTTTCACATATCTTCTGAAATCTAGGCAGAGGTTCCCAAACCTCAATTCTTGACTTCTGTGTACTCATAGGCTCAACATCACATGGAAGTTGCCAAGACTCTGGGGCTTGCACCCTCCAAAGCCATGACCTGAACTGTACCTTGGCCCCTTTTAGCCACAGCTGGAGCAGCTGTGATGCAGGGCACTGAATCCCTAGGCTCACACAGCAGGGGGGCCCTGGGCCTGGCCCAGGAAACCATTTCCTGCCTGCCCCTCCCCCACCCCACCCCCATGGGCCTATGATGGGAGGGGCTGCCACAAAGGTCTCTGACATACCCTGGAAACATTTTCCCCATTGTCTTGATGGTTAACATTCAGCTCCTTGTTACTTATGCAAAGTTCTGCAGCAGGCTTGACTTTCTCCCCAGAAAATGGGTTTCTCTTTTCTATTATCAGGCTGCAAATTTTCCAAGCTTTTATGCTGTGTTTTTGCTTGAACACTTTGCCACTTAGAAATTTCTTCTGCCAGATAGCCTAAATCATCTCTCTCAAGTTCAAAGTTCCACAGATATCTAGGGCAGGGCCAAAATGCCTCCAGTCTCTTTAGATAGGAAGAATGACCTTTGCTCTAGTTCCCAACAAGCTCCTCATCTCCATCTGAGACCACTTCAGCCTGGACTTTATTGTCCATATCACTACCAGCATTTTGTTCAAAGCCATTCAACAAATCTCTAGGAAGTTCGAAACGTTCCAAAATCTTCCTGTCTTCTGAGCCTTACAGTCTCTAGAAAATTCCAAACTTCCCCACATTTTCCTTTCTTCCCCTGAGCCCTCCAAACTGTTCCAACCTCTGCCTGTTACCCAGTTTCAAAGTTACATCCACATTTTCAGGTAATTTTATAGCAGCACCCCACTCTACCAGTACCAATTTACTGTATTAGTCCATGCTCACACTGCTAATAAAGACATACTTGAGACTGGGTAATTTTTAAAGGAAAGAAGTTTAACTGACTCACAGTTCTGCTGGGGAGGCCTCACAATCATGGCAGAAAGCAAAGGAGGAGCAAAGTCACGTCTTACATGGCAGCAGGCAAAAGAGCATGGAGAGGGGAACTCCCTTTTATAAAACCATCAGATCTCGTGAGATTGATTCACTATTATGAGAACAGCACAGGAAATACCCACCCCCATGATTCAATTACCTCCCACCACGTCCCTTCCATGACACATGGGGATTATTACAATTCAAGGTAAGATTTGGGTGTGGACACAGAGACAAACCATACCAAAGGGTATACAGGAACTCATTCTAGTACAGGATGTAATCAGTAGCCTCTGTCTAGAAAAGAAAACAAAAACCTGTGAGTCTCCTTAGATTTAAGTATAGAACAATCTTGTTGGGGAATCTTCTCTAGAATGAAAATTAGACCTGAAACCTGGGAATCAGGGCCCATTAAGAGAGAGGTTGCTGCCAGGTCATTACGGAGTCATCCATGAGCTATGAATATGCAAAATCATGCAGACTGTTTGAAAAATTGGTCATTTTATATACGATGTATAATTTGAAGAATTACTTCATTGTGCCTGATTTTCTAGAGGTGGGATTATTTACTTTGTAGGGTGGGGTAAAATTTTTTTTTTTTTTTTTTTTTTTTTTTTGAACTACAGACTTAAGATAATACAGCCATCACAGTGGATTTCCTAGACCACACTTCTCTTAGAGGCAGTGAGTCCCAGAGAGCAAGAAGAAGAGCACACGTCTTGATCTTGGCTGCCTGAGAGTCCCATAAGAAGCTTATCACCCTTCTCCATTCCAAGAGACACACAAAGCTCTATAGGAAATATCAACATTGTTGTCTTTGGATGGTGACATTTCCTCTTTGGTTTTGTGGGTTTTTTTTTTTTTTTTTCCTGAAAGGGTGAAAATGATGCCTTACTTTTTATATTAACAAGAATTCACGAAATGCTTACATGTATATTGTAAAAAATGTAATTTACTACCTTACTACCAATACATCAAGGAAAGTGACCAAAAAGAGTTTTACTCTAGAAATGTTTGAAATGTAAATTGAAGACACCTAGCTAATTTTTTAGTGGTAACTTTGATAAAATAGGCTTAGGCATGGTTCAGACATGTTAAGATATTTTAAGAAATGTGCTTTAAACACATGCAACTTTTATTTTGCCTTCTATTTAATGCTACCTAGGGTTTCATGCTTGACTGCCTCTTTCTACAGCTATGCTATTTCGTAGAAGTCCTACACTTGAGAATACATCTGATCAAAACCTCCAAACGCTTCAGGTTTTCTCTAATTTCAAATGTTATGTTTCTTGAAAGAAACATTCAAGGGCATCATGAATGCTCTTAAATCTTTTCAGTGTATGAGGAAAACAAGGGAAAGCTTATTACAATATGATGCTAAAAATTCAGATTGTAATGTTGACAAATAAAAGCCAACTATGACCTACGGTAGGCATGAGAAAAGACAAGGAACCAAAAAATCACTTTCTCCTCCTACGCTAATCCTTGCAAACAAATTAACACAGAAACAGCTTTAAAGTTTAGCAAAAGTAAATGACAAAACAGGCAATTGTAAGATGTGTATATATATAGGTATATATATCTTGCAATTGCCTGTGTCTGTACATGTCTATATATCTATTCCCCTAAATATATAGCCATATATATATATATATATATACATAAAATACATATTTTTTTAACATATTTGGAATTTCAAAAGTTTGGGAGAATATGTATTTTATATATATGCACACACATAGAAAATATAGAAATCTATATTGAGAGAGAATATATATTCTAATCCCAAATATTTAAATGTTTTGCCCATCTTGCATGAGCAAAGGGATAAAAATGCCTTCTCTATGGAGTCCTAGAGACCGTGTCTCCAACTTTCAGGTCCTGATGGGATGATGTTCTTGACTCTGGCACAACCTCAGCTGTGTATGCTTCCCTCCATTTCTTTGAAATTTTGGATTTCACAGAGATCCCTGTAAACTTCAAAGGAAAAGAAGAATCTTCCTACTTAACCAACTATTTGTCCATCTGTCTGTCCTATGCCTGCCTTCTTTCTCCTCTTTGTTTTCCATCAACATGACCATAGATTGAACACCTACGATATGCCAAGTATTGTGCTAGGTGTTTACAACATGCACTCTGTTTTCCATGCTATCATCTTAAATAGTCTTATTTAGCCCTTTCTCCTGAGGAGTACTGCCTTTGGTTTCCATGTCATCAGAAGCCTTTCCCTACCTCATTAAGCTGTAGATACCCTAGAGTAAGATGGAGGTGAAAGTGTGGCATAGTAGAAAGAGCATGAACTCTGAGAGAATTATCCTTAGGCTTAAGTCTTCTTGGCTTCTCTATTTCCTACCCATGTGTCCTTGGATGAGTTACTTACCCTCTCTCAGTCTCAGTTTTCTCATCTACTATCTATGAAATAACATACAAATTTCCTTAAAATATGCCCACAGCATGGGAAGCATTTAATAAATAGTAGCAATTCTAATATCTAAGTAATAGCTGCCAATTCATTAGATATGGGCATGTTCAGAATGGTCCATTGACTTATACTTGCCCCCTTATGTATATATGAGGGCAATAAAAAGTTGCCCAGTTCACTTTTTATTGCCCTCTTATATGTACATGCATTTTGTGGGGAGCCTACTTAATAGGTATTTACTATAATAATGAAGTAGGCAGTCTAATATTTCTCTTCATTTGTATAAGTTTTAAGAAAGCCCTGTTTTTTCAGCTTTTTTGGTACATACATTCATGGAAGTTTTGTTATAATCCCCATCCTTTTGTTTGATTTTCCCTGCATTTCTTAAGAAATATCCATAAATTCAGATTAGCTGTAACTAACTCACAGTGTTCCTTCCTTTTGCCATTTCCTTCCTTTCCATCTTCTTGTAATTTAAACTTTCCACATCCTAGAGTGAGAAATCTGAGTTCCCAGTTTTTCCACAGCTTCAATAAGCAGGCTGGAAAATGTTTTAATGGACTGCTAGAACCAATGAATTTTAGTGGTTTTCCCCCATCTTCCTGAAGGTTTTCCTAGCCAGCCTTTCATGTCAGATGCATCTTATCAGTTGTAATGAATTGAACCCTTATTAGCAGTGCTAGAAGAGCTGTTTCTTACGATAGTGATGCTATTTTGCTACTAAAATTAATTTTATATTCTTTTAATGAAATCTTTTTTTCTTTGTTCTGTTCATTTTGAAATGAAAAGGCCTAAAATATTTTTCTCTGTACACCTAATTGTACCCAGAGGAGACAAGAGATCTAGAAATATTCTTAATGCCTACCTGGAAATTCTTTCTATCCCAATATGTAACCAGTTTTTAAAACATTTTTTCCATATGTAAGTCTTACTCAAAGGTTTTCCTAGAAAAGTCATATTCTTGGCATGCTATGTTTTTGCTGAAGTGTCTAGGCTTTGTTTTTGTCCTGTCAGGGACATGACTTGTGA